ATCTGACTGGATGATCTGGTGAACTGGAAAGTGACCTGAGATGACATGATGTGAATTGGAGCTATAGAAATAAACTGAATAGAATTGAATTTAAAGATTTCTGCATTTGGCTGCAGTTTCCTCTCTTAAACTGTGTAACATTTAAGCAGCAAGGGTGAAATAAATAAAAAACAAAGCTACTGGTACTCAACTTTGTATTTCTTACATTGTGACGGTAAATATTGTATTTTTTTTCCAACTGGACATTATATCAGCCTATTTATTTATTTATTTACTCAATATTTAAACTCTTTTCCTAAGAGAGGATGTACTAACTTAGGATATTTATTTTTCTGGGGCGCTTTTTTTCCTCACAGCAGCTTCCAGTGGTGATGTAAAAAAAGAAGAACTGTTGTTGATAGTAAAGTGTTTCGTTTTGGTGGAATAGAAATCGGAAACCCTCCTACGGATATAACTGAATCAAACGATGACATCATAAAGCGGTTCTGCGTATTTTGGGGGTTTTGGGGGATTTACACATAAACGGAAGTAGGGGGGTTATGAATCATCTCATCTCAAACCACAGGTAAATATTGTCATACTTTCAGGTTCAAACTAGGTTTTTTTTTCTGTTTCCTCTTTTCTACCATAGAACAAGCAGCAGAAGCAATGCGTCGCAGCGTCTGCCATATTGTAAGGGGCAAGAATAAAACCAAATTAACTTTCATATCATAAAAAAACTTGTTTATTATAAAACAAAAATCACGGGACAGAATAATTACCTGCTGTTAAAAACGCAACAGAAAGAGAGCATGCTCTGGATTTAATCTAAATTGACCTTTCAAAATAAATCACACAATTATAATTATTATATTTAGTTTTCATCTACAAAACTAAAACATATTTTAGCTCTAATGGGAGCGAAACCCCTTAATCAAATGATTATTTACTAGTAATAATAATGATAACATACAGTTTTACTGTCTAAGATAAATAACTTTTATTCCTTTATTATTTAATCCAGCTGCACATGTTTTAATTAGAATTAAATTAGATTGCTTCCCTTTTAGATCCAGAATAAAAGTCAAGATTTTTCCTTGTAGCTCTTAAAGCTCCTAATGATAAAGGTTCATCATGAAGTTTGATTACAGATCTGATTGTTTCATTTGATCCAAACTAAACACCCTGAACAATGGAGGACAGATTTTAAGGTTTTTAACTTTAAGACAGACACCTGTACCTCTAAGGATGGGCTTTAATTTTAATTTATTTGATAAAGCTTAAATAGCCTTGGTTATGCTCCTCTAGTCCTGCTTCTGTAGGATTAGAGCGCTGGAGGACACACTGATCGTTTTTCTTCCATCTGCTTCGTATAGAAAATAATACTTTTCCTTATCAGTTTGACATTTAATGGGAAGTGTTGGCATAGTGGGTTAGAGCAGTGGGCTTGTTCTCTGAGAAGGTTGCAAATACCCGGTTCGATGCCCACAGCCTCCACTTTGGGTCCCTGAGCAAGACCCTTAACCCCACACTGCTCCCTGAGCGCCGCACCATGGCAGCCCGCTGCTTCCCCAAGGGGATGGGTTAAATGCAGAGAGGGAATTTCTCAACTGTGGGACAAATTTTTTTTTGTTTTGTTTAAAAATTATGGTTGTAAAAATGATAAAAATTATGATGAAAATTAGGATGAAAAATACAATAT